TATTATTATGATGATGTTTTATTATGTTTACAATTTTTGTTAAATTAAAAAAGTCATCTGAGATCAAAAGTGAGATAAATGATTGAAATTAATATCTCGGATAATTTAATAATGAAAATGGAATAATATATATATAATCAAGTGCAAAGTGGATTAAATCATTAAAAATTACTGAACTTAATTTTAATTTAATAAATGACATATAAAATATATTATAATCAACTATATGAATCATTAAAAATTACCTTTTCATGCTTGTATTCATTATACATCATACATCATACATTTCTTCTATATATTCTACACACAAAGAATATACTGACTTCTTATTAAAGATAGGTTGAATGAAATGAAATATTCTTTTAATATAATATTTCCATTTATACATATATCTTTTTATTAAATTCGGAAATTCCGAAACATTCGAGAACATTGAGAACACATGAACGACGCGAACAATCACGTAATTCTTTAATTTTATGGTATCCTCCCATCCCCCAATTCCCCTATTATAATTATCAATCGGAATACTTTATATAATTGGTAATAATTGATATAATTAGTATAATTTATTGTAAATTGAAATTTGAACTTTCACATATTGTTTCTTGGCTTTTTTTTTTTTTTTCAACAAAAAAGAAAAAAAGAAATGCACAGGTGAGATCCTATGCACACGTTTTATTATGTTATTGCATGATGATGATGATGATGATGATGACGTGAAATAATTTAAAATAATTTAAAATAATTTAAATATTAGTAACATTAGTAATATTAGTAATATTAGTAATATTAGTAATTTTTGGCGGGAAAACCTAGTTAAGAATAATTGAAGAATCAAAATTATAAATATAATAGTAAACATAAGAGTAAAAGAATTATAAGAAAAAAAAATATAAATAATAATAATAATAATAATAATAAATAAAATATAATAAATAATAAATAATAAATAATATAAAATAATAACAATAATAATAAAATGTCAAGCAAAAAAAAATCTTTAAATATTACTCAAATCGGATAAATAAGAATTAGAAATGGTAGACAAATGTATTTATCGTTCGCGCTCAGTCATCGTTATTATTAAAGACATTTTAAAAAAAAATGATTGGATCTAGATGACCATTGTAATGTACCAAATTTATAAAATGTATAATTTGAGAAAAATGTACAGTTATTTCGCAACCAATAAAAATTATCATACTTAAATAATAATAATGGAAAATTAACCAATTAAATTCAAAAATTACAAGAAATAATAAAAGAAATAATAATAAAAATAGAAAATCTTTGTGGTTCAACGTTGCTCTCGCATGTAGAAATAATTTTGTTTATTTATTTTCTTATTTTATTTTATTTATTTTTATTTTTATTTTTATTTTTATTTTTATTTTTATTTTATTTTATTTTATTTTATTATTATTCTTCTTTGTTACAAATATTTTTATACATACCATTTTTTGATTATGCAATTATTATTTTCTGATTCTATAATATAAAAATACGTGTACTATGTATGTCGAGTGCGTGCGTGTTGTGTACGTGTGTGTGTATATTTTGAGAGTAATGCATGTTGGTTACAAATTTGTTTCGCTTTTTATTTCCAATTAAATTTCCCAATTATTTTTATAACCATAAAAAAAGGATATTTTTAAACGAATAAACGAATAAACGAAATAACGAATAAAAATAATAATAATCTTCGTCACATATTCAACCATATATTTCATATGATCCAAAGTAATCCATCTATCTACCTGTCTAAAATAAACGTTCAATATATTTTCTATTTCCAAAATAATATTTTACAATATTATTCACGAAATTTGTGTTCCCTTATTTATAAATCAAGGAAATATGTCGCTTGGACCATTTTTATTCTTTTGGTTAACCAAAAAAATAATAATAAATGCAAAAAATAGATTGAATGATTATAATGCAATGAATCAAATGAAAATAATTCCTCAATTTGCATTGCATCTCTGTTATTGTTGTTTTTAAGAAAAATACATTTTTTATTATGTTATTAGAGTCTTTTTTTTTTATGTTGTCTGTTGTCTGTTAAATGTTGTCTTTTTATGTTTTCTTTTATGTATGTTTATTGTCAGTTTCTATGTTGTCTGTTTTTGTTGTTTCTTCTGTTACGCCTGTGGTGATTTTGTTGTTGTTGTCTAGATTGTTTGTGTTATCTATTATTTGTTTTGTCTGTTGTCTCTGTTATGTACGTTATTTATCAATTATGTGTCCATTATTATGTTATGTTATGTACTGAAATTACTGTACTTCCAGCCAAGCAGAGTTTGTGTGGTCCGGAAGTTTTTTTTTTTTTTTAATAAAATTTAATTACATTTGGTAAATTTAATGGTAAAGTGATTATAAAGTTATTAATATCTCCGTTTCTTTTTTTTTTCGCACGTTTTAAATTGTGATCCATTTATGTTTTTGCATAAAATACATTTTTTAAAAAAAAAGGAAAATAAATTACACACAACGACGACCACTTTCAATGTTTATATGTCGTGATTCGTTCGTTTTAAAACCTTTTCTAAATGGTTGGTTAATTTTCCAAATTGTAAAAAATAAATAATTTTATTTTATAATAATTTCAATAATCATTTTAATAAATAATTTTAACAAATAATTTTAACAATTTAACAAATAATTTAATAATAATTATAATTATTTAAAATGTTTCGACTTTAAAAAAAATCGGCTTACTTCAATTCTATTAAATATGTTTAAAAAATGATAAAAAAATGATAAAAAAAATGATAAAAAAAATGATAAAAAAAATGATAAAAAAATGATAAAAAATATTAAATAGATTAAAATAGATTAAAATAGATTAAATAGGATTAATTAATGTTTGAACTAACCTATATTAAATATATATATCTACAAATATTTTATCTGCTATTAGTATAATACCTTTATCGCAAACTCTTTTTTTCATCGACCTTTTCATCAACAATACACATTTAATCTCGTCAACCAATGGAAATTTTCCTAAAAAACCAAAATGTTAAATAATGAACACCAGAAACACCAGAAAAATTAGGAGTGTTAGAAATAATTTAAATAATTTAGAACTAATAAGAACTATGATAGAAAAAATGTATTATGTAATATATCTAAATCATATATAATTTTGTGTCTCTTTAGCTTTCTTTAGTGTAACAATAAGAATAAAATATTAATCTTAATCGCGCACAAAAAAAGAAAAAAAGTGATAATATATATATATATTTTTCAAATTCATTCTTAATATCTTCAATGATTTTGCTCATTCTTAATATCGTTTTTTTAATCTCTTTAATGGTTTTTAAATAATCTAGTTCTAATAATAGTTATAGTAATAACTATTTCTAATTTTTAATATTTCCAAAATAACTATTTTTAATTTTCTAATAATATTTTTATTTTTACGAATTATAATAAAGGAAACCAATCAAAGGAATTAAAAAATTTATGTGAAGAAAGATAATTTAATGTCAAAATGAACAAGTAAATGGAATATCATAAAGAATATCACAATAGTAAAAATAATGAATAAAAAAAAAAAAAAATTTTTTTATAGTAAAGAAAAATAAAAGAAAATAAAAAATATAAAATAGTAAAAAAGAGTTTTTTCATTTAGTAGAAAAAAAAAAATTATATCAATATAATTTAGTAATATCTCATTTTTATCACACGCACATAACTTCAATCAATCGACTTAATAAATCACTCATTTAAAATCATACTGGTTTTCATTTATGAAGATCGTGACGTAAAAAAAGATTAGAAATCCCTATTATTAACCTTAAATTATTACTGAAGAAAAAAAAACCGAGATTAAAATATGATCAAAAGTACTGTATATTGTATATATAATGTGAATTTAGTATAAAATTACATGTTGATAAATATAAAATAGTTCAGATGGTGAGTTTATATATGAAGTACATATGATGAGTTTTATATGAGCATATGAAGAATATATGAGAGTATATATGAGCTTTGTTTGATTTGAGTATATACTGTTTTATATGTTATGAAGTTTTGAAAGGTATTCAAAAGCATATTCAAAAGTCTTTTTTTTTTTTAAATGCCAGTTGAAAGAAGAGGCTGAGTTAGTAAATACTTATTATGTATCTAAATATTCAAAATTTGGTATATATACATCATATAATTTTTATAAAAGGAAATGTGCTGTATGTTTAAAAAAAAGGTATGATGAATTTTTTATAATTTATTAACAGTTAAAATAAATAAATAAATAAATAAATAAATAAATTATAAATTTTATATTACGAATATATTTATTATTATAATTTATTTATTTATATATATATATACATATATATATATATATATATATATTAAAATTATATTACACATAATTTTAGAGTAAACACTACTCTATTACTCAATTTAATGTTATTTATATAAACTAATCTATAAATTAATAAAAATATAAATTGTGAATCAATCGCATATATATATATAGCTTGTTTTTTTTATCATCATGAAGGAAAAAATTTTACGAAAAAAAAATTTTTTTTCTTGTTCCCTTTCACTTATTCGTCCCAATTTTTTGTATGTTTTAAGAAATATTTTAAGTAAAAAAATTTAAAAAAAAAAAATTATCTTGCTCGGTTAATATTTCTATTTCAAAAAAGGTTTTTATGAAGACCCAACTTAATCTTTTGCCTTCTTATTAAATAATCGGTTTTTTAACTAAATATTATAATAACTTTACGAATATCAACATTTTACAATTTTGGTAAAAAAAAAAAATATTAACTTATATTTACTTGTCTATATAATAACAAGTTTATCAACAAAAGGAATATAGAAATATCATTTCTCTTGTCATTTCTATTTGTAATTTCTGTGTTTAATTTCACATTTTTTACGACAACTTCCTTTCTGAAACGAATAATTTTTACGCGACGATTATAAAAAAATCCATTTTACACAATTAATATCAACTAATTACTTACAGAGTTTTAAAAATGGTTTCATATAATCGTTTACATGAAATTCAGGATCTTAATGATCAACCAATTTTCCAGTTCGATTATCGTCAAGAAATCATTGCAATGACTAATTCACAAGCTATTCCTATCATCACTAGCACTTTTCCAAATCATAAAGATATTGACAACTATTATCAACCAAGGATTCAAACCTTTACTGAATATCTTTCTGATCCTAGTGAAAACTACATCACAGAAATCACAGAACTTGAATTTTTACCTCAACCTAATACAACAGAAATCTTTAGTATGGATGATACGAAAATAAAAATGGAATACGGTTGCCCTCTTAGTCCTCTTGACTCGATATATATGTCAAGAACTATATCTCAAGGCAGTAGCTCTGATCTTTCTGTTTGTAATTCATCAAGTATGCCACTTACGCCTCCACAACCATCACCGCATCAATTACACAGTCACCTTCCTGAACATATTATAAGTGATCAAAGGGAACTTATTACTAATGAAATACTAATGGCAAATGGTATCAATAACAATAATAATAATAACAACAATAACAATAATAACAATAATAATAATAATGGAGGTCGAGGTCGAAATAGTAGAATGACAACGATATCATCATCACCAACGATGCAAGAAATGATTCCAGAACAACCACAAGAATTTCGTCATCAATCAATTATGGGATCTTTAACTTCACCGCCTCCGCCTCCTCCACCTACTGCTTCTCCTCAACTACCACCGAAAACTACTGGTCGTTCAAGAGGACGACGTATGACAAACAAACCTTCGAAACCAGGCACTAAATCATTCGAATGTACTTATGAGGGATGTGGTAGAATTTTCAAACGTTCAGAACATCTTAAAAGACATATTCGTTCAATACACACTCTCGAGAGACGTAAGTTATTTATTATTGATATTATTATTATTTATTTATTTATTTATTGAAATATTAAATTAAAATATTTAAATATTTTTATTATTAGCGTTTCACTGCCCTTTCCCTCATTGTACAAAACGATTTTCACGTTCGGATAATCTAAGTCAACATGTACGAGTGCATCGACCTAACGGAAAAGAAAAGAATGCTTCTACTCGAGCTTTTAATAATTTTACGCCTTATTTACAAACGTATCAAGCCGGTGGTAGCATTCATACGACGTTACAACATAACTGATGAACAATCTTTTTTTCATTTATTTCTTTTTTTTAAAGTTTCATGTCTTCTTCACAAAACGTTTTTGATGAAGATATGATCGTTTTTTTTTTATGATCATGATTTGTTCCATTTTTTTTCGATTAATTTCTTTATTTTTTTTTTTTTAATTTGATTTTTTAATCGGACATTGGTGGATTTATTGTAATGAACTAAAATTATAACTTCTACTACTATACTATACCTACTTATTACTACCCACTACTTACTTTTTTTTTTTCTTAACGGTGGTAGATATGCGTATGGAATTTACTATATAACCACAAATTATTATTATGCTATTATGATGAATGAAATTTTATTAAATTCTTTATTTTTTAACTTTAATTTTTTTTTTCCAACATTTTTCTTCGTAAATATTTTTTCAATTTTGTTTTTATATAATATTCATTTTTTATTTTACATATTATTTTCGTCGATTAAAAAAAATTTTGTATAGTTTTTTTTTCAATATATTCAAAAATTATATAACTCGATTATGATTTTAACTCAATTGATGATAGTTTTTCCATATCGCTTTATCTTCACAAACTATTATATTTTTTTTCTTCTATATTCTAATTTTTTTACTCTTGTTTTTTTGTTTTTTTTTGTTTTTTTTTTTTTTTTACTGTATACATGTCTTCTTTACTTCTTTTTTTTCCTTTATTAAAACCTGAAACATACATTTGAAGAATATGATTCGAGGTCTTTTTTTTTTTATTTTTGGAAAGAAGGGGATGTTTCAATAAATGTTAAATAATAACATCACAACAATTTTGAGTTTAGTTATTATGAAAAAAAAAAAAAATAACTTCATATCATTTCTTTAAACATATCACGATAGTACAAAAATTTAGTTAATGTCACACAAATTTTTTTTTTTTAACTTGGCAAAACGAAAATTTACAAATCAGCAAACAAAACCAAATCAACAACACAAACCTATCGTATATTTGTAAAATAATAATAATAATCAATCAATCAATCAATCAATCAATCAATCAATCAATCAATCGAAATTATTACTTATTCTTTCATTCATTCATGACATATATAATCATCAATCAAATCATCAATTAATATTTTTTTTAAATAGTTTAAATAGTTTTAAATAATTATCGTTTGAATAGCATATTTTTTTTATACTTTAATCAGATATCATCATTTTTCAAATATTTTCATTCAACTCTATTCATTCTAACTTCATTATATCATTCTCTACTATTTTTTTTTATAATCTATTACTTATATACGAGAAGGTTTTTCTATTTATTTATTTTTAATTAATTTTTTTGTACTTCATCTTTTTTTTTTTGGTTGTTGAAAAGTGCAAAATATTAATTATAAGAAAAATAATTAAACAAATAACGAATAGTTATATTTGGTGTTTATGTTTATACATATTATATATCACGAAAGATTTTTTATTATCAAATTATTACAAAAGTGATTTAAAGTGTGATATCGATATTGATATTGATCTATGTTAAATGTTGAAATGTTGAAATGTGATAAACTTATTAAATTTTTTTTTACTAAAGCCGTAAAAAAAATTACCTAAGTGTGATTTTTCTAAAAATAGTGTAATATGAATTAACCTTAATTGCAATAAAGTATTAATTTAGAAATACACGTGTAACTTTTATCCTTAATATAGAATAATTAAATAAAATATCATGCCATAATAGTAAATATGAATTCAAAGATTAACCAAAAATAATTTTTTTTTCTAAACTTGATGAAAAATTAATTTGAATTTTCAAAAATACAAGAATATAAGTTGTAAAATTGAAATTAATAATTAATAATAAATAATAATTAAATGAATGAATGAATGAATGAATACAAATTATGATAAATCATACAAACAATAATTAATATACAAATAGAAAATTTGGTATTACTAGACCTTTATTTGCTAATGAGATAATTCTAAAAATTCTTTGGTTCTAATTTAATTTACCGACCAAATTCTAAAAAAAAATTATTGGAAGAATTATTTATTATCCAAAAAAATTCTTTTTAATTTACTTCTTTTTCTTCTTTTTTCTTATCGTTATTAGAATTCTTAAATTCCCCTAATTTTCATTACTCCGCGAAACATAACAAAACATAACAAAACATAATAAAAATATAATAAATGAGAAATATAAAATTATTTATCAAAATTTAATTATCTATTATCAATAATATATCAATAAATTATCAAATGAAAATTGTGAACAAATAAGATGAATGAAACATGATAAATGAATAAATGAATTAGATAAAATAGTCACACAACAAATACATACCTGTTTAAGAGTTAAAAGGAAATATTGCCTAAAAAAATATTAACGATTTCGCTCGATAATTTCGATTTCAACATCTTTTATTGTTTTATTCAATGTTTTCTAATTTTATATTTTACTCAAATTTTTTTATTCTTCATAATATTTTATCCTTATTTATTCATTCATTTATGTTAAAATAAATATCATGTTGTTTTTTTTCCTCACACAGACCATTTTTTTCACGATCTTGAACCATAATTATCATAATTATTGCACTAAAAAAAAAACAAAAAAAAAAACTCGTAACCATTCTTTGATTCATTCTATTATTCTTTCATTCTTTATTTTGTAAAAATTCTCCTTTCCGAATAACCTGATTATACTCCTTGGTAGTAAAATTTATTTATTATTTATTTTAATTTTTTTCTAATTACTTTCTCACAGTTGTTTTTCTTTAATAAATAATAAACAAAATGAATGAATAATCAATCATAATACATGTACAAGTTCTATAATCAGACCTAAACCACCACAAAAATCTGGTGATTATCACTTTTATATGGAGACCTTATTCCTGGTAAAATTTTGCCTTATTAAAACATATCATACGATATTTTATACATTATACAAAATTCAATTTGTCATCTATTGAAGAAAACCTATTCATAACTATAATTTATTTTTTCACATAAATATTAATAAGTATTTTTTTTTACCTATTCCTAACTATTTATCTATAATAAATAAAGAGCCCCTCCACAATTAATTACTTTTTTAGATTGTTTCCTTAAATCTCGATAGTTCTATAAATAAACCTTCTTGTATTTCTTTCTTGTATGGTAAATCTGTTTACATGTTTTTTTTTGTTATAAACAATACGTCAAAGGCTTTCTTAATATTTTATTGTGTACAGGTTTATAAATATTATTATTATTTATCACATACCACAAGGCATACACAAGGAAGATCACGTAAGTAAGGAATAATTAATTAATTTTCCAGTTTAATTAATTATTATTTTTATTTTTATTATTATGATTATAATTATTAACCTACTTTTATTTTTTATTAATCTATTTTTATTTGTTTATCATCCCTAAATATTTTCTTGGATAAAATTTATGTCAAAAAAATGAATCTAGAATGAATTCCGGAATGAGTCATAGAATGTGCATAAAATGAATCAAATTCAATTCTTTTAATTTCCCCCGTTTCTTGTTCAGATTTATTTCGCGTGTGTTCTATATATGTTTTCTATATATATATGTTTCATAGATACTTCATGTGTTCTTGTGTTCTATAGATACTTCATGTGTTCTGTAAATGCTTCATGCGTTCTGTATATTGCTATATGAGACTATATGAGAGTTCTTTGTATTATTCTATTATTATGTTTGTGCTTTTATGCTTGCCCGTGGTTTGAATGCTTCAGATGTTGTATGCTTCTCGTGTTCATTCTGAATTAAAAATTTTTACAATATGAATGATAATTTAAAAATTATTCATTAGTTAATCATAATAATAAAATTAATTTTTTCATAAAAGTTCTAAAAAAAGAAACCTAAAGTGACGCATCTTTTCTTTTTTTTTGGTGATTTAATTGTTTATAATGTTGTCGTGTTGGTATTTGGGTTCATAAATTTATATAATTTATATAAACATTACGCACACAAAAAATAATATATAAATATAAATATAAATAAATATATATATATACACACACACATAGCGCACAATACACATATTACATATGTGTAGTATATATATTAGGAACAATAAAGACATAATAATATTACTATATTATACTGTAAACATAAATTACAAATACGCGTAAAGAAATTCTATTAAGTCATTTTTACAAATAAATAAAATAGATGGTCAGTGCACGGTTATCTCATATAAGATTTCATATATAATATATGTGTATATACATATATAGATATAGATATAGATATCTATTGTTATACCATATGTACGATTATTCATTCTTCGCTTTCTTTATCTGTTATATGAGATATTTGAAATCTTCTTTGTGTACTACTATTCACCTCCTTATTATATTATTCTATTATATTATTCCTTATTATTATATTCCTTATTATATTCCTTATTTTATTTATTCATTTATTTTATTTTATTTTATTTTATTTTTATTTATTATTACTTTATTATTATTTTTTATTATTACTTTTATTATTGTTTTTATTTTTATTTATTATTATTTTTATTTTATTATTTATTATTTATTTTATTATTTGTTTTATTTGTTATTATTATTATTATTATTATTATTATTATTGTGACTATGAAATAGAACATTTTGAAATGTTGCATGAAATCCACATGCGCCCGCCCGATTAATAAGCTACAATATTGCATTGATGATGTAATACGTGATTTATGTCAATAAATTTAGTAAATGAGGCTTTATTGATTAAATAATGTTTTGTAGTAATTTTAGATGGGCTTATATCGTTAAATTTAAATTTTAGCCTACTTTATTTTCATAATTTAATTTAATTTAGTTATTTTTTTTTTTTAATTAGAATTATATTTTAAAATTTAAATATTTTGTAAATATTTTTAATGATTACCTTTAATGATTACTAAAATAAAAATTAGGTATCACTTATCTTTGTCTTTTTAAGGAATACAATGAAGAAATATTTTTGTTGAGATTTTACTCTTAAATACTTTTAAATAATA